AAGTTTGTTGTCCGAATCCCACGAGTAGTGGGTTTATTGTTGTCCAGTATGATCTACAACTGCTAATATTTCAAAGGGAAAGAGAATCAAGGCAAAATATGTTTCGTATAATTAGAAGAAGTTCTTTGAGTTTTTCAAATATCAAAGACTTTTGTACAATTATCGGCCGCAAACGTAACTGATGCTAAGCACCTCGTTATAAGGTCTCATCAACTGATGGTGCACCGGATTCTAGCCAGTGCTTAACACTTAGAACGCACGGAAAATTATTGCCTAAAGATTCCCACCTTGGTAACATTTCTTCCAGTTTTGCACGCGTTCTCTCTGGCGTATCTGTATTCATCCAACCTAAAAATGCAAAGCAGATTTTGAACACTTATTTTGTTTAGAGAAAGATTAGTGCACCTAGTCTATTCACGATCCTGTGCACATGCACATCTACAGCAATACCATCGACCTTGTTATATGCAACCTGCAGGACCAAATGAGCCATCTTTGGCCCCACTCCAGGAAGTGAGCACAGATCTGCAGTAACTAACTTCTGTATAAAAGAGTTCATAAGACTAAGGACAGTGAAAGTGATTTTAGTATGACACTCAAGTACCTTCAAAAGAATCCGGTACATCGCCATTATATTTCTCTTTCAATATAGCTGCCGCCTTTTGGATGTAAACAGCTTTTCGCTTCAACTTATTTTTTCAGTACAAGGAGAAGAGAAAGCTATATCAAGTACCTTGTAAAATCTCACTGGACATAGTAATTTTTCTAACTCAGAAGTAGGAATGGCAAGCATGGAGTCCACAGTACAGCCATAACGGCGTAATCGCTGAACGAAGAAAATGGACAAAAGACAATTTCACTTTCAAAACAAAAAACATGGAGACAGCTGAATGTTAAAGACTTTCCTGTTGTCTTTTTGATAAAACATTCAAAACAAAAGTTTCTGAATAAAGATCTAATTTTAACTGCTTTTAGCAGTCTTGCTCTTTGTTAGTATTTAGTATAAAAATTCAAATTCACCATCATTGCTGCTGAATTCATCTCGTCTTTCGTCTGACTGGACAGCATCAAAGCCAAAAGCACTTGAAAACGGAATGTCTGCGAATCAATAC